TATATATATCCAATATATATACTTAAATATGCTTGGCAAGCCATAAGCAAATTTATTAGATTTGAAGAAGAAAAATTAAGTAATTAAACTGGTAAATTATTTAAAGCACTACTTTTATACTAAAATAATCACAAATATTTTAGATAATCATGCAAAATTCACAAAAGTTTCACAACAAAACATGAAATTTCAAGTAACTTTCAAGTGTGAAGCAGAGCTATATCTCCATTGGGAGCCATGTTAGTGAATGAGGATAAGAAGTCCATGGATTATACATGGTCGGCATCCCATGAAGGACTCAGACAATACCAACTGATAATAATAATGATTCATTCCTGAAATATATCTGGGACTCCTTATGTGTCACAATTCTCATACATTTTTCTATTTTATGTTAGCTAATTTCCTTCTAGATTTTGTATTGCTATAGAGGATCTCTGAAAATTGCACCAGGATCACCAGAACTGAGACACTCATGTCACAGCTAATGGATCACAGCTTTGTCCTCACAGGAAATGCTCCAGCTGGTTGCCTGGAACCACCTCACCCTGGGTTTTGCCCACTCCAGCCATGCTCAATGACTGGCTGATGTGGGAATACAAAAGTTAAGCCTCTGAACTTCAGTTTGGAAAAATGCTAAAGGGTCATCCAGGTCCACAGCTCCCAATAGGGGCTGAGGACTCAGCGGCAGCTCCACAGTAGATAGGTTCTCCCTCTGGCCTGTTCTGTCTTACACAGTTTCGTAAAAACTTATCTCCTGGGCATACTCCCTCCAAAACTTTAGCACATCACCCATGTCTCATTCAGGGAACTCAATCTAAGACAACATTTTTTGGATTGTTTACCTCTTGTGGTATGGATTTAACAGATTGGATGGTCATGGGTGAAAAAATGTCCAAAGTATTTAAAAAATGTTTTTTATATATATATATATAGGTGTTCAGTTGTATTAGACTCTTTGCAGCCCCATGGACTGTAGCCTGCCAAGCTACTCTGTCCATGGAATTTTTCCAGGCAAACATACTGGAATGGGGTGCCATTTCCTACTCCAGGGGATATTACTGACTAATGGATCAAACCTGTGTCTCTTGTGTTTCCTGCACACTGGTAAGCAGATTCTTCACCACTAGCACTGCCTGGGAAGCCCAAAACATTTAAGGGCAAAATTTAATGATAATGAAACCATCAAGCTTTCATGTAGTGTCAAGATAGGTGATATGAAGCATTAGAGGAAGCAAATATCAAAGTCATGGTCAAATGTCAAGATTAGGAACTCAGAATAAATGAAGTAATCACATCTGGCTACCCAAGAGGAAGGCAAGTCTCGTACCACTTAACTCAAAAGGACTGTCTTACTGGGACAGAGGTTTCTTTCAAGAAGTAGGGACAGACTTGTGTTAAGGTTATGACTTGGACATTGACAGTCCTGAAGCTAACAGTCAATAATCAATATCACAAATGGATTCAACAGCTGAATAATAATACTACAGTTCAAGGAAGCAAAAGAAATATCTAGTTCATTATTGAACTACTGTTGACATTGTTCTTATTTTTCATCTTCTTACTGATTAATTGTTGCTGCATACGTCCAGTTCTCACTCTCTGCTCCTACAAATTTCTTCACCCTTACCTAATTAAAAAACTAGAAATTTTCTGAAAATTTTTCTTATATAATGACAGAATCAGGTCATGAAGTGTGAAATCTGGTTCCTAGATTTACTAACTTTGGAACAATGAGCAGGTTATTTAATGGCTCTGAAGTCAATTAATCTTCATAAGCCCTATTTTTATTTGTAAATGAGGATAAAAATAATAATACATCACAGACATATTGTCAATCATAAATGAGTTATTTCAAATAAAAATCTATCTGTTATGTGACAAAATGTTTGTATCACAAAAAGATGTTTTTGTAAATGTCCAAGATAAAAATTTTAATTCATACCTCAAGAAAATCAGGGCCAAATCTCCATCTGAGAAAGAGAAAAAATTGTTAAATAAAGTATAAAAATTATCTTCACCAAAGATATCATATATGTTGTTGCTGTTAGTCACTCAGTTGTGTCTAACTCTTCACAGACTGTAGCCCACCAGGTGCCTCTGTCCATGGAATTTTCCAGGCGAGAATACTGCAGTGGGTGACCATTTCCTTCTCCAGGGGATCTTCCCAACCCAGGCATCAGACCTGGGTCTCCCACATTGCAGGCAGACTGTTTACCATCTGAGCCACCAGAGGAAGGTATTATATACAGTAATAAGGAATTACCACCTCAAAGTGTCAGGAATCATGGAAAGAGAAATGAGTAGGAAAGTTGCATTTGCCCTGAGGACATTTGCAAATACTTTCAAGCCTGAATTTTCATGTTGCTGGTCAACTGAGGCAAATGGACAGAAATCAAAGGATCTGCAGTGGGACTTCCCTGGTGGTCCAGTGGCTGAGACTCCATGCTCCTAATTCAGAGGGTGCAATTTGATCCCTGGTCAGGGAACTAGATCCCACATGCCATAACTAAGAATTAGCATGCCACAACTAAAGATCCACATTCTGTAGTGAAGATCAAAGATCTAGTGTGCCAGAAGTAAGACCCAGCACAGCCTAATATATGTGTGTGTGTGTGTGTGTGTGTGTATATATATATATATATATATAAGGATCTGCACTGGTGGAGGGATTCTAGTCCTCAAATAATCTGAAACACAAAAGTGCTACATCCTCAGATTAAAAGTGAACCTGAAGTTGATCAGCCTTCATACGACTCTGTAGTCTATAGGTCACACTGCAGGAGTAGTCTAACATACCTCAGGCTTTGGCTTGGTTTAAGGTGGCTTTGGAAAGGTGAAGCCCTCAGACATTTGGGAGTAGCTAAGAGACACAGGAGACGCAGGTTCGATCCCTGGATCAGGAAGATCCCCTGGAGAAGGGAATGGCAACCCACTGCAGTGTTCTCGGCTGGAGAATCCCATGCACAGTGGAGCCTGGTGGGTACAGTCTATACAGTTGCAAAGAGTCAGAATCGACTGAAGCAGCTTAGCATGCACGCATGCAACACAACCTCTAGAGAAAGATACATTCATACAGGTCTTCAATTACTTGGAACACACCCTTTTTAAAGAAGCACAGTTGGAAACCAGAGAGATAGAGGAAGCAACTGACTAATGAACAGAACAGCATCTTCTGATATTGAAATCATTTGACAAAGACTGAAAACAGTAGTGTTTATTGAGAAAACTCTCTCCTTGACCGAATTATAGGCAGGATCCTCTAGGTCTCAACCTTATCCCCAGTTTTAGCAATAATTCCCCCACTTTCCCTATCTGACCGAGTTCCTCATTCTCCATTTAATGCGTAAGAGCTACCTTTAGCAAGAATCCTGTTGGGTCACTTTAGCAAGAACCGCCCCTACCGTTCAGGTCTCCTCTTGGTAGTTTTCCACCCACAGGCTCCCTCACTCTGCCCCTTGGCTATAAATTCCCATTTATCTTTGTGAGTTCAGTGCTGACACTATTCTCTCTCCCCTGTCACAGTACACCTGTCACCAAAGTCTTGAACAAAGTCTTCCACTCATTTTAACAAGTATCAGAATATTAATATTTTATTTCCCTTTAACATAAAGAACTAACCAAAAGCTTTAAAAAATCTACAGACTCTAAGAAACTATGAAAAGTGTCCCAGTGAAAAAAATCAGTCATCATAGTCATCTGATATATACTCTCTGTTTACCTATGTATGTATGGTTCAAGAAAGCAAATAAAAATTAATACAAAACTGAATTTCAGCATGATTGCATTATTTTAGCCAAGTCAGCTACAAGAGCTGCTATTACTTCATTTAAAATCCCTATTAACCATTAACAACAGCAGTCAGAGAGGGGAAAAGGGAATAACAGCCGTGGCACATAGCATTTTTCTACTTAGAAATGGCTTGCTTCAGGGGTCTTTAGTAAAAGGACTTCTCAAAGGATATTTTTAATCACAATATACGTATGTAGACTTTCTCTTTGTGACCATTGCCTTTATTTTCATTTAATCAAGTAAAGGTTACTTTACTAAAATAAACTTACTCATCAACATATTTGAAGGAAAACAGAGGGCACAAGGAAAGCAGTGTCTATTGAGAAAAGATGAATGAGAAAAGCACTCTATATGCACGTTAATTGTTTGCCTTTTTGTGTAGGTAACAATACAATGTACTCAGAAAACATTTTGTCTTTTCCATATCCGTTACAATATTTATAGGAATTTAGTTGGGATTGCATAATAATAATAAGTACCATTTATAAGGTGCTTTTACGTGACTGGCACAATAAAGGGCTTTTTAAAAAATATGATCCCATTCAACCACTATGAGGTAAATGTCATTAAATCAATTAGAAGATGAGGAAGCTTAGACTCAAGGTCACACTTCTAGTCAGTAAAACAACTGAGATTAAAATTCTGGCCTGTCTGCTTGAATAGATATTCTTCCAGAGAAGATACACAGATGGCCAATAGGTACATGAAAAAAACGCTCAACATAGCTAATCATCAGAGAAATGCAAATCAAAATCAAAGTGAGATAACACCTTATACCTGTAAACATGGTTATCATTAAAATGTCAACAAATAATAAATGTTGGTAAGGATTTGGAGAAAAGGAAACCCTCTTACACTGTTGGGAATATAAATTGGTGCAGCCACTGTGGAAAACAGAATGGAGTTTCCTCAAAAAATTACAAATAGAGCAATGACTGCACTTAAGTTTTTTAAAATTAAAAAGAAAAAAATTCTGTTTTGTCTTCAAAATACTTCTTCAGTATCATTATTCTTTGATTTCATTTTTTAATTTGCTCTTTTCATCTATGGAGAAATTACAGATACCACATGTGGAGAGAAATTAAAAAATGCGCTGCTAGGACTTTCCTGGCTGTCCAATGGTTAAGACTCCATGTGCCAATACAAAGGACATGAGTTTGATCCCTGGTCAGGGAACTAAGATTCTACATGATACATGGTTCAAAAAAAATGCTACAGTGATACTTAACAGTATTTTTTAAGCAGTGAGCTCTTTCTGTACATTACCCTAATTATTAAGACCAATAATAGCTTATAACTGAATAGAATATTTGATGATCAATTTATTTCAATTAGTCAGCCAGTTTGCATTCATTGGTTTAGATAAATTTACAGATTTAATTCTATTTTTAATAGACAGAACTTCAGGTACATTTCATATTAGAAAGATCAAGATATTGCTAACATTTATCTATTATTTTAAAGTTTGAAAAGCAATTATTTAAAAGTTTGAAAAGTACTGTTTTAAAGTTTGAAAGGTTAAGTTTGCACTTGTTAATTAGAAGTCTGGGGAGAGACTGTTACTGCCATTTTTGCCCTTGTGCTCCCATTATTACTGACAATGTAAAGGAGTTACCCATTTTCAGATCAAGACTCAGAACAGAGACATATCTTTAAAGGCATTTGGAAAAGGTCATGAGAAATTGGAATGATGATGATCACTTTGCTCCTTTGCCTATTTATGGAAGGAAATGCAATGAGAATATTTCATAAATGTTAATTAATTGTGACAACTTGGAAAAATACTTCTTCAAACAGACCTCATCTGAAAAAAAAAAAAGTTCACAAAATTAATTTAGAAGTTATAGGTTTGCATTTCTGAGCAAATGAAAATATGAAATAAATTGTTAAATTATGTTCAGCTCCCTAGAACTGTCCTTAACTTACGCATAACCCAGGGCTGTGAAATTTAAAGGTGTGAGGCTTCCAGTACCATGTTAGGGTCAAGATGGAGTTGCATATTATGGTGTCAAACCAGCTCCCAGGGATGATTGGGACCATAAAGACTTCTATTTACTGATGACCAAGGGATCAGCCCTGGATAGGACCAAGCAGGCAAGTAGAAGGATGTTTCTGAAAAGCTCTGGTTACACGGTCTGAAGGGCTGTCAAAAAGTGCTAGAGTGGGACAAGTCCATTACCAAGTCCAAAACTGTCATTGAGTTGCCATGTTTATGGAATACACATGTCTGATACATGTCTGATATACAGTCAGAACTCAAGAAGATGCTCAATCCCACAAAGGGACGGGCAAATTCTCTAAAATTATTCTGAAAGGCAGTTGCTTCAAAGGTGATAACAGACTCCTTTCCAAGATAAAGAGCTAAGACCTTGCTGAGCTGGTCGTCTCTGCCTACTTGATATGAGTTCCTGAGGGGAGACTGGGCTGATGAGACAAGAGTCGCCATCCTCCTATTGGGAGAAGAAAGCACCCTGTGAGCTGGATGAAAGGTCTCTCCGCAGCTGTCCCTGCAGCTGTCATCATCCGCTCCTCACGCTTTGTAGTCTCAGGAGGAACTTCGGCTTTCTGCTCTCGAAACTCTCTCTCTTCCGCAGCACTGTACACACACGCCCTCACAGCTAGAATCAGAGCCCTTCTGGAGATGAGGAAGCATTGCGTCATACTCTGTTGGTTTTTTTTGTTTAGTTACTCTCATGTCTGACTCTTTTGTGACCCCACGGACAGTAGCCCACCAGGCTATGGGCTTTCCCAGACAAGAATATTGGACTGGGTTGCTGTTTCCTTCTTCCAGGGGATCTTCCTGACCCAGGAATCAAACCTGCGTCTTCTGCATTAGCAGGCAAGTTCTTTACCACTAAGCCACCAGGGAAGCCCTTTATACTCCGTACCTTTAGTTAATTTATTCACTCTCCCTCAACAAACACTGAATGATCACCTAGATGGTTAAAAGATGCTATGAGATACAAAGACAAATTAGCATTTCATTTTTTAAAAAGTTTACATAATCACATCAGTAGGAAGACATATACCAAAGCAGTTAAATTGTCAGTTAAAGGTCATAAATGTCTGTTATAGGCTGATTTATGTTCTTCCCAAATTCGTATTTTGTAGCTCTGATGCCCAGTACTTCATAATGTGACTCTGTTTGGAGACAGGATTTTTTTAAGTGGTAAAACGAGATCAGTAGAGCAGACCCTAATCCAATATGACTGGTGTCCTTTAAGAAGAAATTAAGACACAAGACACATGCAGAGGTCAGGCCATGTGAAGACATCAGAAGGAAGCCATCTATGAGTCAAGGAGAAAGTTCCACAGAAGGAAATAACCTTGCTGACACCTCGCTCTTGGACTTCTAGTCTTTGGAACTGTCAGAAAATAAATTTCTGCTGTTTAAGCCAGCCTGTGGTATTTTGTTATGGAAACTCTAGCAAACTAACACAGATTCTTTGCACAAAACAAAAACAGACAAGCAAAAAACCCAAAACAAAACAACAAATCACTGACAGAGTTAGAAATTGAAAGGAAAGATTGATTCACACACACACANTTCTCCTTTTTTTTTTTAACCTATTCTTTTAATTGCTGATCTCAGAGAGCTCTGTATGTAGTTAAATTGTTCTCTTTTTCTCTCCCACAGAATTACCAAAAGTTTTTCAGAATTCCATTCTAGAAGACCCTATCACTTTTTGTATCATATTTTATTTAAAATTGCTTACATGATAGAAAATGAACATGGGTTCTCTGTAAAATTGTCTTTCAATCATACAGAGGTTTAGAGAACAAAAAGATAAATTTCCCTTGTGATCATACCAATTTTAATTCCATTCCCAGAGGTGGTTATTCATACTTTGATGCTTCAATATTCTTTTCCCGACATTTGTTGGAGGAGATCATGCAGAGGACGTGACGGCTGGTTGACCCTGTGAGCTGGAGCCAGGCAATGGGAGGCTCCTCACCCCCTCTGCTGTCCTTGGGATGCACATTTACCCACTGTTTCCATAGAGGGAATCATTTTCAAGGAACTGGAGAGAGCCGTGGGCCCTTGAGAACTTCTGGATGGTGTCTGTGACAGAACCCAGGTAAGGCCTCTACATAAATTTTCAAGATCCTGGTGGGAATTGTGGAGATCTACTCAACTTGTGCTACCAAAGCTCCTAATTAAGGAGGCTTGTCTTGCTTATTAAACCTGGGGACTACCACCCTGGAGAGGCTGCTTCTTCCTTCAGTCTCTCCAGGCCCCTCATGTATGGATGGGCCTCAGTTTCAGATTTCACCTGGTTTTGAACAAACAGAATTTAAATTTGACAGAAGTGTATATTATCTGAATGTTTAAACCCAAGAACTTTCTAAGGCTTTATAGTCTCTTCTTCGATCATCAATTTATAAACCAAAGCATCATCATAATCAAAGATATTAGAGTGCATGCATGATGTCATAGTGCTGTAGTGCATTGTGATTGGCTGTGGTTCTATAAATAGCCAGTTGGTGTTGCCATGGAATCCTTATTATTTGTGATACAGCCCAAAGATGTAGGCCTTAAGGCCAGGTTGCATTAATGTCCCAGCATTGCTGCTGGAATGGCTTAAGCTGTCTAAGATGATCTGTAATCTATATATTTTGACATTTAAAGCTCTTTATAAACCACTGGACTATCCAAGTGTTTATGAACAGTTCAAATCTTTTTTGAATACATATTCAAATATTTTTACTATCAAACTGCACTGTGGATTTGAAATATCTAAGTGTTAGAAACAGCCTTACACCAAATCATGGCAAATCTTGATTATGGATAAATGATACATCTGTGGGTATCTTTTTTTGGCCTTTCTCAAATCTAACATATCCATTATGGAATTGTTTTTATGTCAGTACATCTAGTTCCCTCTCCACTAATTAAAATAGCTATTAAATAGCTATTTAATAGCTATTGGTATTACATAGCTTGTGTATCAGTTGTGGTCCTAATAAGAAACATGCATGGACAGGACTAAAAGAATCAGCGAGGGATGGGAGTGAATGAACTTTGGTCCTAGAACCCAGTGAGAGCTGTGGGCCTGGGGCACTTGCCCACATCTACCCAGTGGAAGGTCTGGCCGTAGGTAGAGGGTTATAGTCACTAAAAAGCACAATACGGCAGGAAAGTATTGAAAGGGAAATATCAGAAATACCCTCTTGCTCTCCTATTTTGTTGGTACCTCTTTGGGTTGATCCAAACCAATGGAAAACCAGAGCATAAGGGAAGCCAGAGTCAGCTCCCCAGGGATCAGAGGACAGAGCATGGATATAGAGGGGCAATCACAAAATAAAGACCATTTCATGTATATGAGTAATTCTAAAATTATTCATTGAGGACCTGCTATGTATGTATAGGGATTTCCTGGTGGCTCAGACAGTAAAGAATCCGCCTGCAATGTGGGAGGCCTGGGAACAGTCCCTGGGTTGGAAAGATCTCATGGAGGAGGGCATGGCAACCCACTCCAGTATTTTTGCCTGGAAAATCCCCATGGTCAGAGGAGCCTGGTGGGCTACAGTCATGGTGTTGCAAAGAGTCAGACATGACTAAGCGAATAAACACAAATAAGTACATGCAAAACGTATGTACCACACACACAAAAAAGTATGTACCAGGTACTGTTCCAGACATTGTTCTAAGTGCTTTTCATATACTGCTTCAGTAAATAAATTAATAGCATACACTTAATGACAAAAAATTATAGGTGACTCATTTTTTCCTTTCTATTTTCTCTTACAACAATGCTAAACAAAATACGTTTTCTTGAACACACGCATAAGTGATCTTGTGGAGAAGATACCTAGATATGAAACTGAGTCAAAGGGAAGGAATTTTTTTAACTGAAAGTGAAAGTGAAAGTTGCTTAGTCATGTCCAACTCTTTCTGACGCCATGGACTATACAGTCCATGGAATTCTCCAGGCCAGAATACTGGAGTGGGTAAAATTCAGTCCAATAATTCTCCAGAAAACTGTTTCAATTCACACACTCACCAATGAGAATGCAAGTCGCTCCAGACCCCTTGCAAAAATCTCACTAGTCTAGCATTTTCACCCAATCATACATGCAGGAAATGGGATATTGTTGTGGTTTTGATATGTTTTCCCCTGAATAGCTATGTGATTCAGCATACCTTTTCATACTTATTACCAATTACTAGTAATTTCTCTTGATACTTTGTATTATATTATTGTACCATTTTCTATCAGATTGCTCACCTAATAAAAAAACTAACAATTTAAAAATATACTAAATTTAGCAAAGTTTTATAGTTTTATTTGTTTGTTTATTTTACAAATATTTTCTTCTAATCTGGTGCTTGTCTTTCACTTTATTTAAGAACCTGGCATTTTACAGGACATGTCGCTATCCATTGAGTTGTATTTATCAGTCTTCCTTTTGGAACTTTGGGTTTGTAGCATGTTAGATCTTTTGCTATCCCAGAGGGGAAAAATATATATTTTTTTTCCTCCAACAATCCCTTGAACTTCTCAATATAAGTATTTAAGTAATATGGTGTTTATTTTTGTATATGATGAGTAGTAGAATTATAACATTAGATTTCCAGTTATTTAGTCGCTAAGTTGTGTCTGACTCTTTGTGACCCCATGGACTGTAGCCCACCAGGCTCCTCTGTCCATGAGATTTCTCAGGCAAGAATATTGGAGTGGGTTGCCATTTCCTTCTCCAGGAGTTTTTCCCACATGGGTATCCAATTGTAACACACTATTTATTGAATAGCAAGCTTTTCCTCCCAAGTATTTGAAATACCATTTCTATTATAAACTAAAAATAATCTCTTAATTGAAAATTACATTTGCAGTCCTGAGATAAATAGATTTGGTTATATTAGTCTTCCAGCAAGTAAGAACTTAATTTGCTGATTTTAAAATTTATTTATGTCCTTATGTGACATTTACTGTTTTTATGACAATCCTGTATTTTAGATTGGTGTTATAGTAGCCTTTTGAAGAATAATAAAGCTTTCATCTTTTTCTTTACTATGAAACAACTTAAATAACAGGACTTATTAGACAACCTTTAAGTGCTTTACAGGATAATTTGATTGAACTCAGAAGCTAAATAGATGTCATTTAAAGTACTTATGCTTTAAATATTTTCATTAAAAATTTTTTTGGTTTTGGTTTATTAAAGTATTTTACTTGTTTTCAGTCATCTTTGGTTTACTCATATTTTCCTAGAAAATTATCACTTCCTCAAGATTTTCATGTATATTGGTATATATCTGCACATAATATTTTCTTCTTTTATTTACTTCTTCAGTATCTATAATTACATCCTGTTTCTTTTTCATAATGTGGATTATTATAGAATTCCTTTTTCCCTGTTAATTAGACTGGCTAGAGTTTTTAATACTTTATTTATTAATATATATCTTTTAAAATCACATGTACTTTTAAATCACATGTACTTTAAAGAGTTTCTGTTTTATAAATCCCAAATTTATCTTTGTTTATTCTTTCTCTCTCTATAACTACTTGCAATTGTTTTCTAACATCTCAAACTAAAGGCTTAGTCTATTTATTATTTCATTTTCTATTAAATGCACTTAAGGCTGTAACTACTTCTCTGACAACCGGTTGGGCAGGAGAAAGTACAACTGAATAAATTGTTATCCAAAACTTTCTATCATCACTTCTATCAAAAGATGTGAAAATGGGCATTTGGATTGAAATTCATGAGAATTAGAAATTACATCTCAAGGTGAGGTGGCAAATCCATCTCAAGATGAGGTGGCAAATGCCTCTGACAATGCAGAATTGTCAAAGGGAATACATCTAGGGTATAGAGTCAAGAGCTGAATTTGGGGGAAATTATTGAAGAAGGTGTCTCTAGCTTAAACCCTGCTCTGAATCACATTCACTCTCTCTCCCACAAGAAAAAAGAAGGAGAAATGTACTATCCCGTATTCCCTTTCACATCACTAGAAAGGGCACTGCAGGTGAACACTCTTAGTCTATGTATTCTGTAGTTAGATGCACATAGTAGTGTACAGGAATTTGAGTCAAGACCAAGAGGATTAAATAAAGCACAACATTCTGGCTGTGGATACCTCCATGGGAGCACAGTAGTGGCCTGGAAATTTGAAAGGAAACTGCTCTTCCAAAATCTTGGGAAAGGACATCCAATGTCCATGGTTCCGACAGTCCTAGAAAGCGGCATGGCCTCCCTCCCAATTTCCTGTCCACCATGCCATAATTAGAGTAGTCAACTCTCCAAAATGGGAGAAGGAGTAGAAGAAACAGGGGAAGAAAGTGAGAAGAAGCCAACTAAACTCCTTTCCTTAGATTTTTGCCTGCAGTGGGACCTCTAGGTGCTGTCTTAAGTCAAGATCAGAGTTTTTGTATATATGATACTATGTATAAAATAGATGACAAATGAGAACCTACTCTATAACTCAGGGAACTCGACTCAATGCTCTGTGGTGATCTAAATGGGAAGGAAATCCCAAAAGAGGGGACAGATAAATATGTACAGCTGATTCTCTTTGCTGTTCACCTGAAACTGATGTGGCTGGAAGAATAAAATCTTCTGATTCTTAAAAGTTCTTAGAATAATGGATCTTGTGTCATAACAAAATAGCCTCTCCAATAGTTTTGCCTGGAGAATTTCATGAACAGAGGAGCCCGGCAAACTATAGTTCATGGGATCACAAAGAGTCAGACATGACTGAGTGACTAATACTTTCACTTTCAGTTGATCCAAATAAATCATCTTCACACTATATTCTGTCTTTCTGTTGCATTAATATCATCACACTAGGTTTTAAAGTAAGATTTTACGTGGTACTTCTTTCTTCCATCCTTCATTTTTACACTTTGTGTCATTTTGTTTGGGATGTGTTTCTTGAAAATAGCATTTAGTTACTGTTGCTTGATTTATCTATTTGTTTTTATTCTGGGTTTTACTGTTTAATTTTTTTACCTAATCCAGCGATATCTGTCCTATAGAAAAATTTAATACTTCATGTTTATTTCAATTACTTTTGATTTACTTTTTATTTATTTTATTATTTTATTTATCTCAATATCATGAGGCTTAAACATAGTAAATTATTTTAGGTTAATAATTTATCCTGAGAGTTTGTTACCTAGATTGTTTTCTTAAACTTCTGATCAGGATTCTCTATTCCAAGTGATAAGCAGTTCAAAAATATATACACCTGTGTTTATGTTTAGGTATAAACGAAAGCAAGGAAAACAGAATAATAATGAAAGGGAAGTTGACCTCAGTATTGATAGGACAATAGGGTTTAGACAGTGTCAGGTAAACTCCTCACATTTCTGTTAGCAGGGGAAGCTTCCTCTTTGTTGGCCCCATTTCCTCCAGTTTCCTCTCCTACTAGAATAGTGACACCTACAAGCCCCTAGTCTGATAGCTCAGAATCTTAGGTGAACAGAAATAACATTGTTTCTTCTTCTCACTGTTATGCCACTCTAAATTATCACTCATTATTAACACATCATCTTATTAACCCATCCCTACCCACTTCTCTACCCCCAAATCTGCCTTTATTTTTTTTCCCAAATCTGCCTTTAAAAAGATAGAATAAACTTCTTCCCAAGACTAGTAAATGAAATTTAAAGTTTAATTCCTATAGTAATTAAAAATGTATTCTATGGCTTGAAGCTATCTACCTGACTGTCTTACATTCACATTTTTTAAAAAAGAATTGCCTGGGCAAATCACTTCAACTTTAGGTGTATCGATTTTTTTGTGTGTGAAAAATGAAGTGACTTGAAGTGGATGATCCTTGAAGTTTTTGCATCTTCAGGCCTCCATGATTCTGTGACTTTATAATATCTGCCTTGCAGGATTCTGCAAGAATTGATGTTTGCAAAATAATTTAATACTCAAGGATGAAAGATTTTATGCTAGTGCCCCAAACTGTTATTAAATGAAGCATGCCAGGGAAATCCTTTCCACCTTTTCCTCAATAAGACAAAATGCAGGAATGAGTCTGACAGATTTGTGTTTTGATCTTGTGACTATTGTTAGGCCAATTGTTGTTGCTTAGGATTTGGGTGTCATGACTAGAAAGAGTGATTCCCTCAATAAAAGGACAAGAGAAAGAATTACTGTGCAAAGATAGGTATCTCATCTCCATTAAGCGTCACTCAGTTGGGGTCAGTCTAATTTTTCTAGTAGTTTAGACACTTTATAAACTATATTTATTATCTCAGTGACATATTACTATCTTATTTTTTATTTAATAAATATTGACCTAGAAGTAGAACCAGTGAGTCATATGATAAAGTCAATATTTAGCTTCTTGAATAATAGACTTTTTATAGGACCAAATATTCTGAATATGGAATATATGACCACTTAGAAAAATCAGGGAGGAAGCATTCAAGGATTAGATGAGGATTTAACCAGATGGTTCCTGAAAAGTTTTAACAAGCTGAAGATTTATTATGTTTAACCATTTATTAATTTCATCTATCAATAAAATTTTAAAAAAAACACTATTCTATAAAAAAATACACTTGGTTTAAAAAATACCATAATAGTGCCTTAATCTGAAGAGGGCAAGCAGTAGTAATTTGATGAGATGCTTCAGATACCACCAAGATGTAAAAAAGGTGCTCTGTGTTTAGAGAAATAAATCCATAGAGCAAAGGAACTAAAAAGATGCTCTTGAAAACCCTGGATAATACAGTGATATTGACCAATAAAATAAAATGATTACAATAATGTTTAGTAGAAGAAAAGTTCTAAAGGAGACAGATATTCCCTTCTATTAGAATTGGGTTAGAAACATACCTAGAAGAAGATGCAGTGACGTACTGAATTTAAATGGTGAGCCAACATGCATTAGCCATAATAAGACTTAGGGTAGACCATGCAAGTATAGGACAAGACTTACAAGGGGAGAGTGTGGAAAACATTCCAGATGCAACTCCAGAGGAGATGATGTCACTGAAGCTTCCACTCTGTCAGGATCTTAGAGCACCTTGGAAACCATTCTGAATGTGGAATGGATGCATAAGGGCATGTTGGTAGAGATTCAAGTACAGAGTAAAGATTCGATGAGACGATCCTCGAGACACTTTATAAACTGAAAGTTTATGATGCTATGCCATTTTACTTACCTATAACTTTGTTTCATCTATCAGTACAATGTATCAAGATGAAGGACAAAAATCATAGTGCAACATACCAACTATTGACAGATGCTAAAGTTGAAGCTCCAACACTTTGGCCACCTAATGTGAAAAACTGACTTATTGAAAAAGACCCTGATGCTGAGAAAGATGGAAGGCAGGGGGAGAAAGGTATGACAGAGGATAAGATGGTTGGATGGCATGACCGACTTGATGGACACGAGTTTGAGCCAGCTCTGGGAGTAGGTGATGGACAGGGAAGCCTGGCGTACTGCAGTGCATGGGGTTGCAAAGAGTCAGACATGACTGAACTGAACTGAACCAACTATCAGTCAACTTTACCTCAGGAAAATAGGATTTGGGCCTTTTCTGCAATTTCAATTTCCCAAATTAACCCCTAACTATAAGTCATTATTTGATTCAGGGCTGAAAACACCTGGTTTTTATGTTAGCACTTAACCACCACTGGATTTAACACAAATCACAGATTGAAAATGTCATTAAACATAACATCAGTGAACAGTAGAACCCCAATTAGAGAAATTAGCTTGTGTTATATAGGTATTATTCTTGTCTATATATTGGTATTCACTACATATAAAATGTATCTTTCTGAAGAGTGAACTCTTGTATTCATTTTCTTCTATGATTGTTAAAGCATCTTTTAAAATCAATATCTGTAAAACTGTGCGATCCTAGAGCTTTGGAAGAACAAAGAATCTTGAAGATTGTTGATCTGAATTTTACTGTAAAGGATAATGAAGCTCAGACAAGCCAAGAGATTTCCATGAGACGCTCAAGGAGATAGTGACAGAAGTGGCTCAGAAACTCTATGCCCTAGACCTCATGTCATAATTGTGTTTCCTTTGTTGCAAATACATCAGTGCATTGCTTGAATTATAATGTAGAAAACATGGCTGAGAGTTAATGGTTTGCTGTTATCCTATGGAGTTGGAGGGCATGGAGCAGAAAAGAAGCACCCAGACTTGGGTCACCTCAATGAAGCAGAGAGTGCAAATAGTCATGATGCTCAATTCTGAGATAGTAGAAAGTCCAGGGGTGTCCGGAGGCCTGCTCATATTGAAGGCCCTTACCATGCGCTCGTCACATTAATTACTGGAAACAGGTTCTCCTTTAAGGATCAGAACTGTGCAGAATGACGACCACTTTCCAGAGATGCTGCCACTTGGAAAGCCTTCTCCAAGCCTGCATTAGAAATCTGGATCAGGTCTGCATCAGCCATGCCAACCTCATTACTGCCAGGAAGGAAGCAGCTTCTCGAATAAAAAGAAGATAAACAAGCTTCTTTGTCATACCAATTCCAGACAAAAATAGCTGAAACGCTATTTAATATGAAGCAAATTGCTATAGAGGTACAGAGCTTGTTTTCATTTTAAGGAATCTGTATCTAGGTATTTAAACCTTTGAAAAGAACATAAGATACAATATGCTCTTTATTGAGCATCTTAAAAGATTTCATTTTTACAGTATAATACTTAATTTTACTTCCAATTTTCAGTTATACCTTAGAGTTGAGGGCAATTCTTATTCCATTATTTGAATCTTCTTTTTTCTATAGCCACTAAAATTGAATGAAGACAGTTCTAGAGTTTCCCCAAACCCCAAACAATTTGTGTTGAAAAGATCACTCTTTTTGTGGAGTAGATAGTATCAAACCCATGTGTAATTTGGCCAAGGGAAACATCAGTTTCATAATCATAGAATTCCCCCCATCCTTTTAGGTTAACACTCATTTGACTTGTTTCCTTTGAAGCCAAAGTAACTCCTATGTTTGCTATTTTGTACCTTGCATTCAGAATTTCCGTTCTTCTTGCAGAATTGCTGCAGAGTAATTGCAAGTGCTCAGTCGCTCAGGAATTCGAGTCAGTCAGTCTCTCTTGGCTTCCCCCTGGACTATAGCCCACCAGGCTCCTCTATCTGTGCGATTTCCCAGGCAAGAACACTGAAGCCAGTTGCCATTTCCTACTCCAGGGGATCTTCCCAACCCAGAGATCAAACCATGGTCTCCTGCATCTCCTACATTGGCAGGAATTGCAATGGTCTCAATGATACTTGAAAATGTCCTGTATTGCTTGTTCCTGGACTGTTCCTAACTTCTGAGAATGTCAGTTTGGGTGATTGTGGCTGGCAGCTTTAAAAGAATACAGTCCATGCTTACGAGGCTGTAAGACCTGGCTGCTCTAGTGTGACAGATTTTGTCTAGGAGCTCAGTTACTGATGAAGGACNAATGTCAGTTTGGGTGATTGTGGCTGGCAGCTTTAAAAGAATACAGTCCATGCTTACGAGGCTGTAAGACCTGGCTGCTCTAGTGTGACAGATTTAGTCTAGGAACTCAGTTACTGATGAAGGACTTAAATGACTAACGTAACTTCTCTGCTTCAGAGAAGGATAACTGCCTTATCCTTCTGAAATTGATATTAAAAGACACCTGCGCCTTCTCCCTACTGAAGCACTTGGCCAGACTCGCTGTTTTTCATATATATTTAGAAAGATGAACTGTTACTACTTGCAAATGTACTGAGTTTCTATATTGATGATCTCTTTGATTTTTCCTTCCCCCAGCAAACCTAGCCTATACNATGGTATGATTTAAACTTCCTGAGTCTCATTGTCCTTGTCTTTTGAATGGGATAATGATGCCTCTTTTAAAAGGTTTTTATAAAGACATAAAACTATTAATCATTATATTTGTCACATATTTATGAATTTCTCTTCCCTAATAGAAATATAGCTATTTCATCCTTTAGCATAATTGTATTAAAGAAAGGCTTTGGAGTCAAATTTCATAACAGTCAAACACAGTGGCAAAACTATAGAGCTAACGATACCTTGAAAGCGAAAGTCATTCAGTCATGTCCAACTTTTTGCAACCCCATGAACTATACAGTCCATGGAATTCTCCATGCCAGAATACTGGATTGGGTAGCCTTTCCCTTCTCCAGGGGATCTTCCCAACCCAGGGATCAAACCTAGGTCTCCGCACTGCAGGTGGACTCTTTACCAGCTGAACCACAAGGGAAGCCCAAGAATACTGGAGTGGATGCATGTGTGCTAAGTCGCTTCAGTTGTATCCGACTCTTTGTGACCCCATGGACTGTAGCCCACCAGGCTCCTCTGTCCATGGTATTCTCCAGGCAAGAATATTGGAATGGTAGCCTATCCCTTCTCCAGAGGATCTTCCTGGCCCAGGAATCAAACTGGGGTATCCTGCATTGCAGGCAGATTCTTTACCACCTGAGCTATCAGGGAAATGATACTTTAGAAATTATGAAATTTAGTGCTTTTCAAACTTATAAAGCTATGGGATTTCTATTTATGCAAAATCCTTGTAAGTGATTCAAAATGAAACATTAATTCTCTAGGATGTCCTGTTTAAAGCAAAGATAAAGTTGAGCCCCATCTCTTTTATCTCCCCTTTTTCCCCATTCAGTGTGCTTCAACTGAGGAATTCTCCAAATTTCTAAGATGCCCCACACGCATTTTTGAAATCCGGTGGATAATCCAGCTCTCTAATATTAAAGGTTAAAAAAGCTAAGAGTCGGGGGAACAACAAGGTCTTATTGTATAGCACAGGGAACAATATTCAATATCCTGGGATAAACTATAATGGAAAAGAATATGAAAATAATATATATACAAATATATGTATATTTTGCCATATAAAAATAAACACATTGTAAATTAACTGCACTTCAATAAAATGTAATAAAATAGAAACACTAGTGAATATCATTTTCTACATTTAAAAAAACACTGAGTCAGAGATGTCATATCACACATTAATATCAGACCTGAGGTGGTAACCACATTTCTTAGTTTTCAATGTGGTGCTTTTTCCATTCATTGGAGGGAGGCACATGCACTTAGTGTGAAAAGGATAATTGGTTTCATGTTGGTCTTTCAGCCCAAGCAAGTCCAGACAACGACAGAAACAAAAGCAGTTAGCTAATTTGTTTTGAATTTTGTTGTGTACCAAACTATATATTTTGGAATCACTTTCCTCTAACTACTGCAAAAACCCTATGATTTGAGTATTGGTATTATCCCCATTTGACAGTGAAAATATTAAGCATTAGAGCGGCCAAATAACTTGCTTAAAGTTACTTAGCAAGAAACTCTTGTGGTTTATGCTAAATTCAGATCTTCCCAGCATGAAAATCTGTATTGAAATAGCACTATACTCTTGATACCAAGGGCTTACTCTTGCGGTTAAAGAACCTACTTACCAATGCAGGAGACTAATAAGAGACGTGGATTCAATCCCTATGTCGGGAAGATCAAACTGGAGGGCATGACAACCCATTCCATTATTCTTGCCTGGAGAATTCCATGGACAAAGGAGCCCAGCAGGCTATAGTCCATAGGGTTGCAAAGAGTCAAACACGACTGAAGCAATTTGGCATGCAGCATGCAGTGGATACCAAGTTCTCTACTGCATACATTTGAAAATAATCTATTAATTATTTTGCTCTGCATTAATAAGCCATTCTTGATTAAAAGCCATTAATAACCATCACTTTTTAAACTGTGCTTGCATTTCGCAGGCATATTTAAATTTTGCAAGTTTTTATTTCCCAAGAGGAAGCTAAATTTAGTAAATATTTTTCTAAGAAAACAGTCTTTGATCTATGGTAGCACACTAATATTAAACCTTTAAATTAAATAGCAAAGAAGTTTTATTACAACTTAACTAGTTGCTGAAAATTAATCTATATTTGCATTGTAAGAATTGTTTTAACAGGAAATACAATTATGGGCATTCA